CTGTTAACACTAGCAACACTGTTCAGCTCTTAACGTTTGACAGCTCTAGGGGCAGCGGGGAGGGAGGTGTGTGTCGATCTGATTGGAGCGGCCGGGGCGGCGCGGGGAGGGGGGGGCGGGGGGGGGGCGACGGCCGGGGGGCGCCAGCCGGTTGAAAACGGCAACCCCGCCCCTGCCTAGACGAGTACAGCTAAAGAGTACCCGGGGCTCCCCTTGCGGGGGAGACCTCCCTATAGCTAGATGGACAAGCACGGCCACGGGGAGCCTTTTATCATACAAAACCGTCATGGCGACGGATCAATACTCGGCTTTAGGCCGCCCCTCTCAGTCTCACGCCAGGCGAATGCGCGATGAGTCCATCCACATGAGCACGGACTGGCGGCAGATAGGACACTGCTCCATCTTAGCGGAGCAATCGGCGCACGCGCACTGATGCCCGCAAGGGATAGCGACGTGATCCTTCGGCCGAGTGAAGCATACTGTGCACGTGGTCTCGCCGCCCAGGGTGGACTCGGGGACCGCTGCGCGACCCGTGTCGAAGTTGGCGTCGGCTAGCGAGAGCGCCGCAACGGGCTGCTCCTCACTCAGCAGAGGGTCGCCAGTCGACCCGGCGGGAGGCGCCTGCTCCTCCGCTGGGCGCCTCGCCTCGTCCTCCAGCCTCGCGCTCTCCTCGAGCGCCGCTGCCGGCTCCGCCTCCTCCCTAGCCGCCAGCGCTGCCTCATCCTCGGGCAGCCCCTGCGCAGCCGCAGCGCCTCCCCCGCCACCCTTCCCCTTCTTCTTCTTCTTCTTCTTGCCCTTCTTGCTCTCCCTGGCGCGCCCCGCCTCCTTCTCCGCCTCCTCCTCCGCCAGCAGCGCCTCGGCATGCCGCGCCGCCTCCGCCTCTGCCGCCGCACTCTCCACCGCCCTCGCCGCTGCCTGCGCTGCCTCCTTCGCCGCTGCCTGCGCCGCCGCGTGCTCGAGAGCGCGCACGCACTCGGCGTGGGCCTCCCTCTTGGCCAGGTGAAGTGCAGACTTGCCGTCCTCAGTACGCAGCGTTGTGTCCGCGCCCGCCCGCAGCAGAAGACGCACGGTGGCGGGGTGGCCTTGGGCGGCGGCGAGCATCAGCGCGGTGCCGCCGAGGTGGTCCTGCAGGTCGGCATTCGCGTCGCGCTGAAGGAGCAACTCGATCACTCGCTCGTGGGCCGTCTGGGCGGCGAGTATCAGCGCGGTCTGGCCATGGATGCCTTGCGTGTTGACCTCAGCGCCGCGCTGAAGCAACAGGTCGGCTACCCGCTCGAGGCCGTTGCGAGCGGCGGTCATGAGCGCAGTGCGGCCGACGCTATCCTGCTGGTTGGCATCCGCACCGCGCTGCAGCAACAGCTCGACCACTCGCTCGTGGCCGCTGCCGGCGGCGAGCATCAGCACGGTGACGCCGCTCACATCTACCACGCAAGTCGCATTGACCCGCCCGCCGCTGTCGAGCCACGCCAACAGCTCCGCCTCGTCGCCTTTGAGAGCCGCGCCCATCGGGAAGGGTGCCCAGGAGCCGGAAGAGGCCACGGTCCTCGCTCCCGCCGCCGCCTCGCCCAAGGAAGCGCCGCCCGCGTCACCCGCTGCCGCCTCGCGCTGGACCGCAGTCACCTCTGCGATGTGCTGCCGGAAGGCCTCGACGCACGCGGCGTGGCCGCTCTCCTTGGCCAGCTGCAGCGCGGACTCGCCGTCCTCAGCGCGCAACTTTGTATCCGCGCCCGCCCGCAGCAGGCGGAGCACGGTGGCGGGGTGGCCGCTGGCGGCAGCGCCCATCAGTGCGGTGCCGCCGTAGCTGTTCTGCAGGTTGATCTCAGCGCCGCGCTGCAGCAGCAGCTCGACCACCCGCTCGTGGCCGTTGTTGGCGGCGTGAATCAGCGCGGTGACACCGAAGCTGCTGTCCTGCAGGTTGACCTCAGCGCCGCGCTGCAGCAGCAGCTCGACCACCCGCTCGTGGCCGTAGCGGGCGGCGGTCATCAGCAGCGTGACGCCGCTCGCATGGCTCGACCTGCTGGTCGCATTGACCCGCCCGCCGCTGTCGAGCCACGCCAACAGCTCCGCCTCGTCGCCTTTGAGAGCTGCCGCCACCACCTCACTGGGTGCTTCCTCCGGCGGCATAGCTGACGAAGAAGGTATGCGCCGCGCCTCACTGGCCCCTCGAAACTCGTAGACCGCCTTCCTCAGCGCCTCGAGCCGGCCCTCGCCCTGCATCACACCGTGATCAATGCCGACCCGGTCTGCGATGCCCTCGAGTTGAGCCTCGGTCTGGCCCATGATCGCCTCGCGCAGGGGGTCGGCGGCGGCGCCCATCAGGAGCAGGAGGAGGAGAGGCGAGCTGGCCCCTTTGTCGCATGCCGTGGGCGATCTCAAAAAAAATAATGCAAAACCCGTCAGCAGTCCTCCTCCGGGAATGGATACGTAAGAGCATACACTGAAAAAGAATTTCACGTGGCTCGGTCGCCTCTCGCCTGGGCCTCGCGCTCCGGGAATGTACGTAAGAGCGATCCGAACGTGGTATTCGGGTGAGAGAGAGAGAGAATTCTTGATACGAAACCACGACGACACACACCAGTCGACTCGCATCGGTTGCCTCCATGAACGGCGGAGCTATTCTCGCGCCCACACCACACCTGGCTCCAACGTGGACACGCCCATAGCTGGGGACACTACTAGGTCACGCATGGCATCACAGAAGTTTTATCTCTGGGCCCCGAAAGGCATCTCTAGCAGTGTCGTTACACATGCCCCCTCCCCTCCTGGGCGCATGCGCCTCACGTCTCGCCAGAGCATACGCCCTTGGTGTGTGGCGAGACGAGTTTTTCGCCATCGCCGCGAGCAGCAAGCCGCCCGCCGCAAACAGCCGGAGGCCTCGCCGCGGCACTGGCTGCGCCGCGGTCCCGCACCCGTCGACGCAGCTCCCCCCGCGGAAGGCCGCGCGTAGCAACGTCTTGACGATCGAGATGAGCGTGCCTGAAGCTCGCCCACCTACTGCCCCTGAGAGTTGGTTATTGAGTGGGATCAGCTCCCCCCCTTGGGATCGAAGCCGCCACAACCTCACACCCAACATCCCAGGCGGGATCAGAAGGGGACTCCACACCGGACACCGCCCGGGCACAGCCCCCCTACCCGTCGGATCGCACAGAGGGCCCCCTCGGAGCAGCCCACACACAATCACGCATCGGCAGATTGAGTGCCTGAGTCAGGCAGACAGCACAGACAAGGAGAGGAGAGAGAGAGGAGAGAGAGAGAGAGAGGAGAGGGTGAGGGTGTGAACACACTTGAGGAGTGAGTGGGGAGGGTGTCTGTGGTGGGCTGTAGTCCTACTACGTGGTTAGAACCACGCGCCCCTCAGGAGCTTAAGGTAGAGCTGAGCGTCCAAGACGCCTCGGTGCCACCCACCGGCGTGAAGACCATCCGGATCAGCCCAGTACGCCCTCCGGGCGAACGGTCCCCGCGATGGCCCACGGTCCTCCGTCGCCTGGTTGAACCCCCTGCCTCCCGGTTGACCCCCCGGTCCCCGTACACGACCATGAAATAAACTCAAAGTCCACCACAGCCACCAGCCTCCACCTCCACCCGCGAGCCGCCACCGCTGCCGCCCGCGACGCCGCCCGCCGCGTCAGATAGCCGCGACGCGCGCACCGAGTCGAGTCGGAGAGCCGCACCGCACCAGCAGCAGCATCTGCACCACCAGCAGCAGCAGCAGCACCACCACCACCACCCGAGAGAGAAGCGCACCTGCCCGACGCCGCCCGCCGCGTCAGACGCTCGCGACGCGCGCGTCGAGCCCAGTCGCACAGCCGCGCCGCGCCAGCAGCAGCATCGGCACCAGCAGCAGCAGCACAACCACCACCAGCATCAACAGAGACAGGCAGAGCAGGCGCAGAGGCGCTCGCAGAGCGGCGCTCAGCGCCGCGCACGCCACGCCGCGGACCGTCGGACGAGCGCACCGTACGTCGGCGGCGAGCCGCGTCGCCAGCCGTCTCGCGAGAGAGCGGCGCCGCCGCGTGCGCGCAGCAGCCGCCGCGGCAGAGACGAGCCGCGGCGACGTCCGCACTAACGGATAACGGCCATTGGCGGTTGGCGGCTCTCTCTCTCTCTCTCTCTCTCTCGGGTGATTAGATCACTACAACGGTCAAACTCTGAACGAGATGGGATTCCTTGACAGCCATTTATGTGTGTAAATCGCGTAAAGAGGTTTTCGCCTTGTGCTTCTGTGTGCCAAATCCTTTTGCGATAGGTCCAATCGGGCGGCATGCACTTGGAGCACTTGGAGTGCAGTGTGACCCGCGCGCGAGAGGGGCAGGCGTTCCCAAGGGGACGGTCCTGTGCCTCGGCAGGGTGCTCGACGCGCACGATGAGCAGGATGACGCGGAGGGTGGGCACCGGGACTGGGAGGAGGACCCGCTCGGGTTCGACACCAACCCGATGCTGCTCCGCGCCATGTGCATGGCGTTCGAGTGAACGCCGTGCAGGCAGCCTGTGCCTTTTGGTGTACCCCGTTTGTACCGCGTCCTGTGCCCCCGAGTTCATTTAATAAACAGTGTGACTGATGTTCGAACAGGCGCACAGGCGACGCCCAGGCGCGTCGAGAAAACTCTTTTTTTTTCTCGCTGTCCTGCAGGTTGACCTCAGCGCCGCGCCCAGCAGCAGCTCGACCACGCGCTGCGAAACAGAGCCGGGCCGCGCCCAGCAGCAAGGGCGACTCAGGAGAATGGACATCAGTCACAGTCACGAGGACGTGCTTGCGCTCGACAAGCAGATTGAGGAGCTCAAGGAGTGCAAACCGCTCTCCGAGGCCGAGGTGGAAGTGCTGTGCCAGAAGGCGCCGGGCCGCCCGCTAGCGCAGCCGCGCCCCGCCGCCGGTCAGCTGGAGCGGCGAGCGCGCCCACGCCGACTGCGGACGCGTGCGCAGGCGCGCGAGGTCCTGATGGACGAACCGAACGTGCTCACCGTCGCGCCACCGATCATCATCTGCGGCGACATCCACGCGCAGTACCACGACCTCATCGAGATCTTCCGGATCGGCGGGCCGTGCCCCGACACCAACTACCTGTTTATGGGCGACTACGTCGACCGCGGCTACTACTCCGTCGAGACAGTCACGCTGCTGATCACGCTAAAGGGTTCGCCGCCCCACACCCCGCCTGCACCGCTGCCCGCAAGTCTCCCAGGGGCGGCGGCTCGACCGCGCTGGGATCGGGAGACACATCTGTCGCGGGTCCTTTGCAAGGGGCTTAAGAGCTCGCGCGAGCTACGAGAGAGGAGGGGAGGGGGGAGGGAGAGAGGCATACCCGCAGTCCTGCTCCTGCATGAGGGCTGTGTCTGCCTCAGCGTTCCCCACCGACCCGCCCTCCTCGGTAACGCGGTCGGAAGGACCGAACCGCCGCCGACCGACCCGCCCGCCGCCGCTGACCGCCGCCCGCCGCCCTCGCCGCCGACGCCGCCCGCCGCTGACGCTCGCCCGCCGCCCCTGCGGCGCAGTGCGCTACCGGGAGCGCATCTTTCTGCTGCGGGGCAACCACGAGTCAAGACAGATCACGCAGGTCTATGGCTTCTACGACGAAAAAAGAAATTCCGCGGCTTTGACACGTTTTTTTCTTTTTCGCAGGTCTATGGCTTCTACGACGAGTGCTTGCGCAAGTACGGCAACGCGAATGTCTGGAAGCTGTTTACCGACCTGTTCGACTGCCTACCCCTCGGCGCGCTCGTCGACTCGCAGATCTTCTGTGTACATGGCGGCTTGTCGCCGTCGGTGGACTCGCTCGACCAGGTGCAGCAGCTGCCGCGGGAGGACGACACGCTGAAGACACGTCCACGACACGTCCACCGACTCGGCCACGACATGCCCGCAGGTGCCGCAGCTGCCGCGGGAGGAG